TATTCCATATTCTCTCTTAAATACTAAGAGCCAAGTATTTGCGATTCAATTGGATACATATTTATTGCATATACATTAGTTTTTCTTTCGTACCTTTGCTAGTGATTGTAAATATGTAGTGGATACTAACTTTTCCCTTAAACATTACGGAGCACTCACGAGTTACATATCTTTTAATACTTAAAGATGTAAAATAATTTTGCATGTTTCTTTAATCATGACGCAACATTGTTATTAATTTCATATTTATAGAGTTACAAAACGTTCCTCGTAAATTTAACCTACTTTGGCTTATCTTAGTTTGAAAACGATAAAATAAATAATTAAATAAATACATTTTCACAGATGAATTCAAAGTTTTTCTTGAAGTTCTAAGGCGAGTTAAGAAGCTGAAGCTGTAGTACAGAGAATTGCCGAAGGTGTAAGTGTATTCACATAGCGACGCAATTTGCAATCATTGTGAAGAAATATTTCCTGAAAAATGTTCTGAAAAAGATATTTGAATTATACATATTCACCTTTTTGAGGCTCTTTTAACACGTGTTTTCAAAGAGGGAGGGATAAAGGTTTGTTATCTTAAGTCAATATCAAGCTTGTGAGTAAGCAATGCCAAACACTTTCTACGAACATGACTTCACTTTTTGCATTATTAATTTACCCACAAAGAGTAAGTTTTCGCAGATCAAAGTAAATACGACAAAAAATGAAGATATATTGAAAATGTACTACTTTGCAAAATAGTGTAAGTATTATTATATCTCTTATCATCTTTAAGATTTATCTACCCTTCAAACCTTCTTACAAAAACATTTTTAATTGTTAAACCTTCAATAATTTAAGTAATATGAATGTAAATAAATAAATTTCAACTAATTGACAATAATTTCATTTTTTCCTTTCAGGTCTATATCTTTTCATATTGGTTGTTGCAACATTCACCGGAGAGAAAATAAAACTTCGTATTTACATGTCCATCGGATGGGGTAAATGTTTTTAACAATTTTCATTATATTTTTTTATTTTACTACTTAAGAAATTATACAAGAAGTTGCTACTTATCTTTATTGTTCATTCATTTAAATCATGTCCAATTGAATCACAAATATTTTTAATACAAAGATTGTTACACGTATTTCAAAAATACTAGATAGTTTTTCTTTTTATTGCATGCTATTGCATGCTGTGTTTGGGGAAAACGAATGTTTCTTCTGTAATTAGTAATTACCGGATAATCTGTGATGAAATTCCTATTATGTATTAAGCTTATATTAAATTAATTATATTTTGCATTCTAAAAACTTAGTTATCTTCACACTGCTTCATTTTAACACTGCTATTTATGTCGTTTATAGTGATAGTTACAATTAGTGTTTTACAACAATGCGTTTTTTGTAAAGAGAATTGTATCAAACATGCAAAATCCTTAACTAGAACACTGACTTTAACTTCAATAGCTGAGTAACGCAGTTGGCCTTGAACAGAAAACAGAAATAAGAATGACTCTCATGTTCCGGTGAAGGTGGATTTCACACATACTATATGTGAAAAGACATGAAGGTTTCCACCTACAGTCTTTTAACTATAGAAAAACAATGATGTATCAACACGCCATTGTCTCTGTGGCCAATTCGAAGTAATTACTAAAACAGAAGTAAGCGACATTTTTTATAGTATTACAACAATGAAAATATTTTTATATATTCACAACTGCAAAATTAAACAATAAATGAGAAGAGAATCTAAATTATAGAAATAGTAAACATTTGCATTCTTGTTGTCTGAAACCCCTATTTACAATACATTTTCAGATATTTCATTTCTTAACTTAACATGACTTATTTCATAGACCCTCTTCATTATATTTGTCAAGGCAGAATTTACCTTTACTTTTGTTAGGACTGGTCACATTTTGTTTATCGGAACAGTATCATAAGAATTCCTTAAACCAATAACAATTAAACAATATATTCTCTGTTCGTTGAGATTATCTTCTCAACAAGCTATTTAATAGAGAATACAATATCCCTACAAGATCTTCCTGCACTGAAAACACTTTGTTCCTCAATTTTATTTACCTCCATTTCCAATCTTCCAGTCAAAATCCGTCTATACAGACTACCAATAGCAGTCATTACACTAATTCCTTGATAGTTTAGTTGTTCTTATTTCCTTTTTTATGGATGGAACGAATCTTCCAATCTTCAGGCTCACGATTGGTTCAAATAACTAAAAATAGTCTGATCTATTAAATAATTTTAAATAGTTTTTCCTTCCAAGAATATAAAAATTATCAAGATCATTATGGAACGTAAGTGCGGATGAAGAGGAAATTTTGTTGTCGACCAATTTTCGTGATTTTTTTTTCTTAAACGTTCGTTGAGTTCCGTCGGATCTGTTGTTTTCTTTCTTCGATTGAGTCAAAGGAAGGCGCGCGATCTGCGGGCGTGGGCGTCAGCTGGCCGAGCGTAAAGCGAGCGCGCACTCTGTGGGCGACTGGGATTGACCCCCAGCACGAGCAAATATTTGACCGCCCCGCGACTTACATCCCGCAACCTCCCCTTCAAGCGCTGGAGCGCATCTGTTGACATGAATAATAGACCGCAAACGCAGATGGGGGGGGGGAATCCAAATATTGCCTTTCGATTTTCGCGGTTTAACGTGCTCTGCGGTTGTTTTCTTCTTTTTTTTCGGTGAGCGATTTTTTTATTGATTTCGGTCGCATCAAATAGTTAGGTTCCTGGTCAGAGCAAATGTAGCGGACCTGTGAGAGGGCGGGTCCCTACTGAACCGCGATATCAGGTGCCGACCTACACTTTCGCTTTCAGGTTTTCCCTCTTCAGGTATCTTCTCCAGTTGAGTACTTCCCTAGCCGAGATAAACTCTAAGTAATCGCCGATGGGTTAGTTTACTGTATGTAAAATGTTGATTGGTCACTCTGTGCACACCAACTACTAAGGTCAGTATTTTCTTAAGTGCTGTGTGGTTTTTTATTCGGAATGTAGTTATATTCCCCGCTGAATGGTTAAATTGCCGCCGAACTGCCCGTCGTCTAACACATTTTTTTCCCAAGGAATCTCCCAGGAACCAGGAATCTTCCATCAGCGGGGCACATCCCCATACGGTATAAGTTGTATGTTCCTGACTGATCGCCTGACATAAACGGTAGTGTAGTGCATGCAGGTGTAAGGGATGACAAGGGAGAGGAAGGAAAGATCGCGAGCGGTCCGTTTGTTAGGGTACTGCCCCTACATTCGACTGGTTTTCATTGAAGAAAATACGGAAAAATACCGATCAGAGTAGTCGGACGCTAGAATTCTCGTCGAGACAGCCACTGAAATATACTATCTGACAACCTAGTGTCGAAAATTCTGCCACCGCTGGCCCTAGCATCTAGGGCCTCCCGGTCACGCACTGCAGTTGATGCCCTGAGCCACCTCTCCCAACTTTAGTTTATGTAAGAGAAAGTGTTAATGTATGGGTTGGGGAGCAGACAGTAGTGAAAGAAAGATGGCGCGCCATCCGGGGCCTATTTATTGGAATATTGCTCCAGTATTTGCCTGGTATCGTCTCGGAATGGCTACAATAAATAGTTTTGATATTTACGTCTGATGGAGACTCAGTTTTGTATTTCATCCACATCCTTTTTAGCATTTTTTTATTATAGCGTGTTACAATCCCAAACGGTGGGGGCCTCCGATAACAGGATGTATACTAGAATTCCGAAGCTCTCAGACGACGAACACATAACACAAGTTAAATTTACGACTTTAAATTATATACATAAGATCCTTAAGACCAAAAGGAAAATGTTCGGAATCAATTTAAAGAAGAAGTAACCGTATGAACAATCAATTCATGTCATTTTCTTCGGAGAATTTCAAATTATATTTGAAACTCTGTGATTATGCTTTTTTCGTGAAATCGAATTGTGTGCTGGATATAAATGTATTTTTATTTATAGTAAAATTACGAATAAATGTGCTTAAACTATATTCTAAAAAACAATATTAGCAGGATGCAATTAAGAATTATTCTCTGTAACGATGGAGAATGTAAATGTAGAACTGATATAATATTCAATAAGCTGAATGACATTTATCAATTGGTACATGTGTTGACATTTTATGTCAATAATCAAGATTTACCAAAGTTCAAAAATGCAATTTTCATCGATCATATGTCCACTCAATAAAATTCGTTTACATGAGTTAATTATGTTCAGTTAATTATGAAGAATAGGTCAATTTAATTAGGGAGTGATTTTACCAATAATTAAACTACGAATTTAAGAGAAGCAGTACAATCCAATGCCTAGCCTACGCTGTTTCAAATGCTACCAGGAAACTATAATTAATACTGAGGTATAATTACGCTTAATTCATTTATAAAATTACAATGAACTGACTTGTGAGATTTACATGTTTCCACGTGTTTCTCGAATATAAACGGTCTCTATTCTCTTACTTCTCTATGTAAAAACACTAAAAGTAAACACGAAAACAAATATTTTCCGAAAGCAGTTGAATCCATTTGACAGCGAAGTCTGCCGTGATTTGAGAGCTTAGGCTTCCTCGGCCGGAGTCAGTATTTACTTGGCTGTCCGGGTGACGCCGCGACAATGGCGAAGTTGCCGACGGACAGCCAAGTAAATACTCTCGTGATTTATCCTAACAGCACGTCGACCTAATCTGTTGAGAAAAATCCCCGACAAGGCGCGTTACAAGGGAGCGCGCCGTAAGATCCACCCATTAATGACGCGAGAAATGTGGCTCGTAAGCGGCAGCGAAAAGGAGGAGCCAGTGCCTCTGTCTTTCCTCGGCAATAAGCCCGTTGACACATTTACGGGCGCCGCGGAGGTTCGTTCCCAGGGGATCAGAGCCCGGGCAGGGCGGGGCGCGCCAACGCCCACGCCGTTTCGGAGTTCTCTGACCTCCACACGTGCCGCGTGCTGCCGGCCACATGCCGCCACGCGCCCCCACGTGCCCCCACGCGACGAATGAATGGCAGACGCCGCGCCTCGCCGCGCCGCGCCGCACAGTGGACCAAATGACACGCGCTTCACCCTAGCTTTCAACAGAAGAGTTACTTTAAATCCTGTTTTACCCCGTAATTTTCCATCCTTTTTTTCAACATTTTCCTGCGCAGAAAGGGGATATGAAAAGACCGTTTGTTTCTACGCGTTACGTTTCGATGCTGAAAATGGATGAAAGTGATTCCAGCGTTTTATACGGTCATTTCTGGCCTTTGAACGTAATCGTGATGAACATACTTCCTCCGAACGCCCAGAAAGCGCAGAAGATCAAACATTTGAACATATCATCTGTGGTAAAAAATTACGTTAGGTTATATTAGGACAGAGCACGGAACACGTTGACATTATAAAGTACAGTACATACTTTATAGACGTGCCTCGGTAGGTACACGATCTGCCCTGCAGTGGTAGAGAACCACTAAACGGTGCCGGAACACATCGGCACACCACCTTGTGCATGCAGCTTTCCGCGCCAGCCTGGGCGGATCACGTGACTTCGTACGTCATCTCCCTTCCACGCGCTTCTCTGCGTCGTGGTTTAACTGCTACTTCTTTTGTGCACGACACCTTTTTGTTGCCATATACCTCCCATCTAGAAGAGTCCGTGTGTGGTATGGTACCTTTTGTTCGGGTGGCTATTTTTAGTTACTCACACCCTTTAACTTGTACACCCTCTCTCTGCACAGAAAGCTAAACCAATGACACTGCCTCAGTATGAATGTATAGATGTGTTTTTCGATTTGAACGAATTAACGCTTTTGTCGTGAATACTTTTCAGAGCTTGATGTAATTTTTACCGCTCGGATCCTGCCTCTTCCAGTTCTGATCTCACCTTGGTTATAACGTGCTCGGATATTTGTTCGATCTCTCAACTTGCATTACTTCCTTTTTAACGCGTGTTCACGTACACCTTATTCAGACGAGACGAGAAGTGATGATGGCTGAATTGGTAGCCCAGATGCGTCTCACTTTGGTTATAACGTGCTCGGTTATTTGTTCGATCTCTCAACTTGCATTACTTCCTTGTTCCCGCGTGTTTACGTACACCTTATTCAGACGAGACGAGAAGTGATGATGGCTGAATCAGTAGCCCAAATGCGATGAACGGCAATGTACAACGTCATCACCTCACATATACTTTCTCACTATTAAACGTTCCACATTCTTTGCGCTGGATTTGAATACATGCCTTCCATAAACTTGTATCTGCTTTCACCGGCTGTGTTTCACGAGGCAGTAATACATTCCATTCATAACTTCATTTACATGCAATCAATGTTATTTAGTGATTCATTAATTTAACATTTATATCTTCATTTCAGTTCAATATATTAAGTTAATAACTTCATATAATCCGAAATTCAAATATTATTGACGAATTTCATCAAATACCATGATAAATTTCTTTCAATTGCCATGCAGTCGAGTACATTATTGCATAGAATATTCAAGAATAATTGCCATAAAAGAAATTTACTCAAAATAAATGCCCTTTAATATCATTTATCTCATTCTAGGTTTTCCTGCTGCTATAGTTGTGACGTGGGCTACCGCCAAACATTTCGGGCAGTTGGAATCGTCGGATTCGACGGTGAGAACCCAATCGTATTGTAGTCAGTAGGAAAAACAACTTAAAGAAGAAAATGAACATAATAGAAATTAAGTTTCTCATGAACAAAGTTTAAAATATTGTGTCTTCACATTTGTCACTATAACCCTAATTTTAAATGAAATGACGCCAACATTAGAAGAACTGTGATTGCTAATTATTTACAGATTTCATTAAGCTATATCATTATGTATATTTAGCTTTTGGTGGAATGCACATGAATTCCCAAAAGCTATTTTAAAATTTCCTAAAAAATGCATTAACATTTTTATGTTTAAACGTTCCCTAATAACGTGAAGAACGCTTAAAAGAATGTTACCTGTTTCATTTTCGTAGAATTCCGTCCTTTCTTTAAGATTGCTTTTTTTTTGTTTCCTTCCTATAACTATAATACTGAATATAGGTATTTTTATTGATAAAAGTTGTTCTTTCAAGATATCTTGCAAAAAGTTCATGTACAATTTTTACAAAATTTTCCTGAAATATAGGCAATTTATATTTTTGTCTAAAAAATAATTTTCCTTAAATTACCTCCTCGTATGTATCAATAGAATGGTGCTAGTTGTTTTCTGCAAACACTTTTCATTTGTGAAAATCGAATTTTGTAAAAATATTCTAATCATTTTTTTTCAAAAAACGGCTTTATTTTTGTCAACTTTTCTCTTCGTGGCTATTAAAAGACGATGGAAAAAGCGGATCTAGTCATGCAAATTTGTATTTTGAAAATGGCAAGAAGTAAACATTTCAAACCGGCAAAATTGAAGTTACAGATTTTTCCTTAAATATGTTCTAAAGCATCCCTTTTTATTTTTTCACGGAAATGAAAAGGCACGCTTAATAGAATGACGCTTAATAGAAGGTCTCATTTTCGTTATTTCTCAGAATTTTCTGAAGTTGGAGATTTAGAAATAAAGTGAAATAGAACCTGTAGTTTATTTTATTATAACTTTAAATAGCTAACTTATGAGAATATTTAATTTGATACTTCAAAGCTGTCACATTCTAAAAAAATAGGAACTTTGAGAAAACAACCTCTTTGAAAGTAGCATTTTTTGTCACTTTATCATTCACTTACCGTTGATTTGACATTCCACATTATAGTAAATGTATAGAGATTCTGATGATGTTTTCAATGTTCACTGGATTGTACCTTGCGTAAAAATGCACTACCATTTCTCTAAACCCATGTCCAACGCAAACATTCTTATGATTTACCCCATATATTACGTTTATTTTATACACCTCAAACGTGTTCCTGTAGTGCCCCGTCTGAAGAAAGACAATATACAAGAGTACATTAGCGCCTCCTGTTCCACCATTCACCCTCCTACATTTATCCTTCATTCACTGCAGCCTGTATAATACCCTGTGGAAGCGAAAACCTTCCCCTCTTCCTCCAAACAATCCAACATATTGTGTCTAAAGTAATTGTCAATGCCTTGTTTCAGTTGGGAGATTCGCGTGGGCAGAAGCTGCTCCTGCGACATTGCCCATGGATGGCCTCCGACAACTTTGATTGGATTCACGAAGCACCGGTCATCACTATTCTGGCCACGAATCTTGCCTTTCTCATATCCATCATGTGGGTAAGTACTCACTGTTCATAATGCGGATTTCACTTGCTCATTGCTTACAAATAATATATGAAGTCTGTCCAGAACATTATCGAACTTTTGAAATTTCGCACTAATGAAGATATTTTGAGACTTGCGGTTGGCAGCAATGTGTTACAAATAACATACTATGTATCCACGTGTTCTTGGATTGCTGACGTCTTGTTTAGTTTTTGTGATATTGTTGTTTCTCCTTGCGGTTTACCTCATTGGTTAGCGTGCTCGCTTTTCATACGCACAAACTATAAACATACTTTCAAACGTATACAATAATGTTCCCCGCCCCGGGTTCGATACCGGGTCGGCGAACATTATAGCGTGTGTAATGTCTTAGTATATGTTGCTGTGTGACGATGAGAAAACTGACATCTCAGGTTATGATGACCAGAATATGACTTAGGGATTTCTTCGCGCTAACATCACGTGCCGCCTAAACCCATTGCCGTGAGTCCGGGGCGCTGCCGGAAGGCCCTGGCCCTTTCACGAACTGTCGCGCCAAGTACAGAGAGACAGATATTGTTGTTTAAATGCAACGGGTGTTAATGTTAGTTTTCATTATTAAAATGTGCGATTTTCTGGAACAACGATGCAACAAAAAATTTGGCGAGAAACGGGGAAACACTTTCACACAAACGTTTCAGCTTTTGAAACAAGATTATGGAGATGACATTTAGACACACGTTCAAGAAAAAATTGGAAAATGATATCACAAATAATCTCCATGTCACAAGAAAGTACGTCAGTCTTGATCCAGTATGGAAGTGATGTACACTGTTTTTCGACTTTAATGGAATTGTGAATTTTGAATTCTTGCCTCAAGGCAAAACAGTAAACCGTGGGTTATATCGAGACGTTTTATAACGGTTACGTGATCAAATTCGCAAAAAGAGACCAAAAATGTGGCGAGACAACTCATGATTCTTCCAGCACGATAATGCACCGACCCACTGTGTTTTGTTCATTCGTCAGTTTTGTGCCAAAAATCAGATTGCTGTCCTTCCTCAGTCTCCGTACTCCCCAGACGTGGAACGTTGTGATTTTTTTCTTGGTCGTTGAAATTAAAATCTTTGCTGAAAGAAGGCCGTTTCCAGCCTGTTGATGACATCAAAGCAAATTCGTCACAAATCTTAAAGAACATTTCAATGGAAGCTATCCTGAACCACTTCGCTAAATAAAAACTCCACTGACAAAAGTGGGTGAATAGAGGAGGCAACTACTTTGAAAGGGAAAAGGACAATAGTCTGTAAAATTGAAAATAAAATTGAAAAAAAGTTCGGTAATTTTCAAAACAGGCCTCGTCCTGTAACGATGTTTTATAAGACGCGAATACTATTTATATCAATTCCATTATGATGCTGTAGGATTTTTTTATTTTCTATTTATTTTTTGTAACAAATGTCAATATAATTGTTTTAATCATTGTATACGCAGAAGTGTTATATAGAGCTTTGCTTTGGTTCTGTTAAAAATATTTACACAAATTAATAGAAATATTTTAGGGAAATTATTATTATTTATTTTAAAATATTGAGAGTGTGTTTAATAGAACTTAAGCGCCATCCACCTCTTGAAAAATTGGGGCTAAATAGTAGTTGTTAATGATGATGTCTTGAAATGAAATTCAAAACTGCCTTTTGCTTAATATATTGATCTTTATTGCTAGATGTTCTTACATTGAAACGTACTTCACGAATGAGCTCAATCTGAACTCGGAACAGAAGACACTCGCCAAAGATGGCGCTGTTGGATCAGTTTTCCAGTATTACCAACATAAATATCAAAATGCTCTATGATTACTAACAGTAGTAATGCAGCATACAGCAAGCAAACGATCTCCGTTAGATCAAAAATCTGATGAAGGGAATGGTTTCAAAAGAAAAAATAAATAATATTAGAATTTAAACGTTGAATAACAATGGTGATAACGTGTATAGCTAAAATCTTTCTGAAATTTCATATTAGAAACAAGTTATTCGTAATATAGACTTGTAAATAAATCTTACACCCTACTGTTTTGAGCGTTTACACGTCGATGAGAAAATACACCTAAGGTTATTCACTAATATCTACCAATAGAATTTTGGAAAAATATTGAAAAAAATGTTAAAGACAGAATTATCTTCACAATATGTCATAAATTCGAACAAAAATATGACTGAATGAATAATATGTTAATTATTATTCTGATATTTTAAATTCTGTAAAATTACTTATATCTAAGTGGCTATGCATATAAGTTTGATGAATCTAGTAGGCATTTTCTTTCGATGTACTTTTCGTTCATGTTCTCAGAAACTGCAAAAACTTGCAGGTACAAAAGTAGAAATAAAAGAAACCAAGCCATGTTTAAAATTCCCCTCCTTTTCTGTACGATTTACCAGTATAAGTAGGCACGGACTCTGCCAGATCACAAATGAATTTCCAAATTGCAAAATTAGAGTACATTCATTCGTGACATTTCTGTACATGAGTTCTGAGTTACTTCATTAACCTTTTTAAAGTATACTTTTATAAAAACTTACTTAATTTTTTTAAACGTGACAGAAGAAAGGGAGAAACCATCGTTGTTGTAGCTACAAGCATGCTTGTAACTGCGAAGGCCACAGAGCTAGAGAGTCCACAGAAAAACATTCGGAATGGAGGAAGTTGTGGCTGCAAAAATGACTTTCAGTAGTCTCACATTTACAAGAGGCAGTGAAACGAAGAGAACTCGAATCTTCCTCGCCATTCAAAATCTCTCACCAATCACACCTAACGTAATTACAAAATTGAAAAGAATGGACGATTTTCGTCGTAAACACTTGGCGTAAAAAAATCTGTTAGTGAACGACTCTCCCGCTAGAGTCAAAATTTATGCTTTCTGTACGAAAAAATAGAACATGCGCAAAAGATTTCAATCAGAAATGATGCAGTGGGGACATTCAAGTTTCTGTACATCCAATCTGCATGGAAACTTTAGCGTGTAAAAAGGCCTTACGTTTAATTACAGAGAAAAAAAAACATTTTGTGATACATATTTAAATATTTTCACTAATACAAAATGTGAATATAATATTTATTATTCAATAAAATCAAACCTTTAACATACAATTTTAAGCCGAAGGTTAAATTATGTAAGTTATTTTATACTGTATGTTTTATAGAATAAACCTGCTTTAAATATTTGGCCTTTCAAGAACGATAGAAAATTTTCAGCTGATGGAGCCATATTTTTGAATACACATCACATTCTTTAAAATACAAGTAATATGTTTAGCAGGCAACCAGGAAATATGGCCACAGAGAAAACAGGTTTTATCTAGAACCAAAAATTAAGCGAAATAGGGGCTTCGCGCAGACCCTGAAAGAACGCGAGGCGGAAAAGGAATCACAGGAAACGTGGAGGCCTCTGCGGAGCGGTGAAGCCAGGAGCGCCGTGCCTCGCCGGGCTGTAAAGTGAGACGAACCAGGGGACAATTACAATGGCCCCTCGCTCTCGGAGCCCGCGCGGTTGCCTCTGCCACTGCCTCCAACGCCACCGCCGCCTCCAACGCCTGCGCCGCCTCCGCCGCCCCCTCAGCCGCCTCCGCCGCCACCTCAGCCGACTCCGCTGCCACTTCAGCCGCCTCCGCCGCCTCCACTGTCACCGCCGCCTCCACCGCCTTCACCGCCTCCACTGCCTCCACAGCCACCTTCACCTCCGTCGCCTCCACCGCCGTCACCATCACCGCCACCACAATTCCCACCACCACCATCACCATCGCCGTCACCGCTACCATCTCCGCTACCACAATCCCCACCGCCATCACCATCGCAGCTGCCCGCCATCACCACCACTGCCGCCGCTGTCGCACTGTACAAGGGTCCGAGGATACAATGAGGGCTTACTAAAACCCATTTTACCTGATTTGCAACAAGGCATTTAATTTTATTGTGTTCAGTGTACCGTAGAAAGAAAATGGATAAGAGTAGCTCAATATAGGTTATTGTGAGAGAGAAAAGAAGAGAAGTAATAACTACGATCTCGGTCACGACGACTAAGTGTTATTTCGAAAACAAGTATTAAGAAAGAATGGTCTTTGATATTCCATTAACATCTAGTTCATTAACGACCACTATTGAATTTAACGTTGTGGTAACTGTGAAGATGACATGATATGGTGTTGATAGGGGTGAAATGTCGAATACAAATATAAACATGCCCGAGGCGTAACTCGAACCTGTAATCCTTTGATCCGAGATCGCTGCGACACTACTGCCTTAACTATCTCGTTCACCGGATCGGCTCTTCTTTGCTGTGCAATCTAGTACCGTTCACCTCGTTGCGGCCCAAGATGTTTCCGGGTCGAACGCGTGCCTGTGTCCCGCGGGAGGTGGAGCCTCCATTCCAGGAATCCTTCTCAAATGGCGTTCCCGGAAACTTTAAAACATAAACACAAATTTCGTAGCCGCCAGGAGAAACACGCCGCAAACGTATCTCCTTACGTTGCGGTTTGGGAAACCGACCTCGCAGAGTCGCGTATTACGAAGCTTCCCAGCGTTGTACTAACTTAGGTGCACTCGATCGAACAGAATGGCACAGAGTTTACATCATGAGTTATTTTCAATTCAATTTTCAACATGAATAATTCTGAACAATGTGGATAATCTGTTGTTTGTAAATTATTGAAAAAATTACGAAATAATTGAAATATTGGCGTATATCTTGGACTACAAACTACATTATATGCCTCTTCAGAATGGTTTTCTGATAATCAGTTTATTTTAATTCCATTAAAATAGAATACAAATTAACATATGTTTACATTAACACGAATCTCTTGTAAGTGTAGATGTAATCAGGGACTAAATATTTTTTTAACTTTAAATCGTCATAATACACTATTTTTCAATCTTTCACATATTATTACACTTTACATCGACGTTATCAAGTATAAGGTAATCCACCAACATTAACTCTTGAATGTTAGTAAGGAGGTAGAGTGGTTTCTATGCCTCGAAGGAAATTGGAAACTGAATGAGCAATGGCTAAACGTCGTGACTATTCCTAGTCTTTAGTACCTTACAACATGTAAGTGGCAAAGAAACTTCCAAAACAACCATTGAAATTGAAAACATTTTCAAAATGCAAGAGAAAAGTTTAAGAGGAGAAAGCAATACATTATATTAAGAGAAGAATACAATACATTATGTTAATGTATTTTGAGGTAAAGTCTACAATCATTTCGCAACATTAGTGCATAACATGCAATGAGAGATTATAAATCATCTTAGTAGAGTAATGTGAACGATAGTGAGTCTATGAAGAACCAGGCCGTATTTTCGACAGACAAAATTTATTGCGATGTTGGAAAAATATTTTGGTTGAGTTCCACAAAATTGCTTTTTTTTAAAATGGAAGCCGACAGACTACGAAATGAGAATTTTCTTGTATTTCAATGTTATGTCGGTGTTATTTTACACAAATGTACAATAAAAGTGAAATTTACACGAATGCTTTGAGGGCTGGAGCTGTTCAAATCCCCAAATCTCCGGAACTCCTTAAAGGCGCAGGGAAGGTGGGGTCCGTGGTCTCTGAGTAGGAGGCGGT